CCCCCGGGGGGATGGCCATGCTGCAATCCCTTCTCCTCCATTCTCCTCTTGGGATCTTGTGCACACACGCACATGTGCCTGGTATGAGTTTTAAGCCACTGGGTCCAGGACTCGAACTGCGGTCGACTACATGGGAGTCCAGCGACATAGCCATTACACTAACTGCTGGTCCCTTCCTACTTCTTCGGAGTATGTTTCTATAGCTGTGTGCCCCTTACCTTCTCTATGATATGTATAATATCTGTGTCAACTTTCTTCCTTTATTGTGGTAAGGAGTGTGGAATCCACAGTAGGAATTGAGGGTTTAGGTATTCATAGGGGAGTTTCTCTCCTTTTATTGCTAAGTGAGTTATGGAGAAAGAATTTTTACAGTGCCATGTGTTTTCAGGTGCCTGGTTCTTGTATACCCCAACCTAACTGTTCCAATGTGCCAGGCAATTGAGCTGACAGGTAGAATGTAAGAAGGTAGTTCAATTTGTATGGTGCACTACAGAGCCACTCCTCTCTGACTGTAGCTGCATATGGGGGAGGTCTCTGCTGATGAGCCAAGCAGAACAGTTTAGCTTGGGCCTTTATGTTTCTCAGTCTATCTCTGGGATTATGGGGTCTCCCTGTTGCTCCTTATTTCTCAGGGATTGCAGAAATCATCTATTGGTTCTTGAAGGTTAGATAGCTTCTCATCTCCCATAGCAGGCTGGGTTGGGATCCCTGATCAAAACACAGACTTTTAAGGAGTATTAAGAAAATTGACAAATCATTAGCTATACTAAGAAATATGGAAAGAAGACCCAGATAAATGAAATCAGAAATGAAAAAAAAGAACATTGGGGCCTGGATGTGGCATGGTGGTTAAGGGTGCTGGATTCCCATGTGGTGATCATGCTTCAAGTCCCAAACCTGGTGGCTTACTTTCTCACTTTCTTTCTCTCTGTTGTCTATCTCTTATCAAATAATATTAATATTAATAATAATAATAAATAATATTAAATAAAATAATTCTTTTTTAAAAAGAGTAAAAGGGAGCAGTACAACAAATATTATGGAAACACAGATCATTAAGGAATGCTATGAGTGACTTGATGTTAATAAGCTGGAAGACCTAGAAGAGATGGACACATTTCTGAATGCTATAGCATACCTAGATTGAATTAGGAAGATACAGAGAGACTGAATAGTTCAACAACAAATAACCATATTGAATCAGTAATAAATAGACTCCCAGGTCCAGATGGTTTCACTGCTGAATTATACAAGTTTTTAAAGGAAGAATTAACACCAGTTCTCAAACCATTTCAAAAAAGTCCAAATAGAATCCTGCCAGACTTACTCTATGAAACATTCATTGCCTTCATACCAAAAGAACATGAAGAAACAACAATAGCAGCAAAAACTACAGACAAATAGCCCTAATGGATAGAAATACAAAGATCTTTGGAACCAGCAGTTAGCGTAATGGCTATGTCGTTGGATTCCCATGTAGTCTACCGTGGTTTGAGTTCAGATCCCAGTAGCTTAAACTCACGCTGGGCGCGTGTGTGTGCATGCCCAAGATCCCAAGAGGAGAATGGAGGAGAAGGAATTGCGGAGTAGCCGGGGGGGTGATTTCTCACTTTCTGTCTCTCTGTCTCTGTCTTCCAGGCAAGTGCACATGCCCTATAGCAAAAACCTCTAAAAAAGAAAAGAAATACAAAGATCCTCATTAAAATGCTAGAAATCCAAATCCAACATGTGCTAAAAAGATGATTATACTCCATCACCAAGTAGGGATGAAACGATGGTTCAACATAAGTAAAACAAATGTAATACATTACATTATAGAAGGAAAAATCATATGATCATATCAACTGATTCAGAAAAAGCATTCAGTACAGCACAGCATGCCTTCATGATTAAGACTTTCAATGAATAGGTGTAAAAGTTACCTATTTTAGCACAATAAAGGCTGTGTGATAAATACACAGTTAACATCATACTGAATGGAAAAATATTGAGTTTTTTCTCTCAAAAATGGAACAAGATGGGGATCAGCAGGTGGTGTGGTGGTTACGGTACTGGACACTCCCAGATGACTCACCATAGTTCAATTTCCAGACCAGGTGGCTTCCTCTCTCTCTCTCTCTCTAGTCAAATTAAAATAAATGAATGAATAAATTAAATTCAAATAAAAAAAGGAGCAAGACAAGAATGTCCATTTTCTTCACTCCTGTTCAACATAGTATCAGAAGTCCTAACAATACAGTCAGATAAGAGAATTAAATAAAAGGCATCCATATTGGAAAGGAAGTGAAATTATCCCTATCTGTAGACAACATAATTATATACACAGAAAACCTAAAGAATCTACTATAAAACTCTTAGGGAGAATAAACAAATTCAGCAAAGCTGCATGATACAAAAACAACATACGAAAATTTGTAGCAGGACCAACAGGTGGCATGGAGGTTAAAGCAACTGGATCCCACATGGCTAACTCTGCAGTGCAAGTCCTGAACCTGGCAGACTGAAAACCATGCCAGGTGTGGACACTTTTCTCCGTGGCTCCTGCGATCTAGCCATTTTGGGGCAAACCGAGAAATGAAGACTTCCTACTGATAATTTGGCCTCCAGCATACAAAACTCGTGTGGTAGGAAGACCCCTTTCAGGCCTCCTGTCTCTGTATCTGTCTTTGTCTCTCTCTACCTCTGTCTCTGTCTCTGTCTTCTCTCTTTTTTTAAATTTTTGCTTTTTAGAATTTTTTAAGGTGAGGCATTTTTTTCTGGGCCTTCTTGCCCCTCCTATCTCTTTATCTTGTTAATAATTCCCTCTCCCCTTCCCAACCCAGAAGAGGCAGAAGAGAAGGGAACAGGCCTTTTCAAAGAGACACTTTTCTCCCTGGCTCCTGTGATCTAGGTTTTCTAATTTTGGGGTTTTATTGAAATTTTTTTAATATTAATTTTTTTGTTTTATTTAAATGTTTTTCTCTTAGTTTTTTTCCTTTTTCTCTATTTCTTGTCTGGTTTTTTTTTTTTTTTTTTTGCTGCTGTTGCTGTTGTTTCTCTCTCTCTGTTTCCTTTTCCGCATGCTCTCCTTTCCTCAGATTGGACTTCCAAATTTGGGAAGAAACTGACCATCCATCAGATGACTAGAAATCGCTGCAGGACCACAAGAAATATGGGGAAGCAGGAAAATACCTCTCCTCCAAGGGAAAAAGATAACTCCTCTTCATCCACATACAGTTCAATAGAAATCACGAAAATGTCTGATAAAGAATTCAGAACATTCATAATGGCAAAGCTAACAGAAATGGAAGAGAAGAGAGACAATGAACTGATGAAGAGGAAGGAGAAAGGAGTTGAAGAGTTCCA